GTGTCAGGAGGTGAGGAACCTCTCAGACACCTCAACACCAGTTTTGCATGCTGTACACCACTTCCTCGGTCTTGTGGTTGCAGTTCTTTGTCTAGTGTTATAAAATCAATATGATGTGTGAGGGTAAGTGCTATAGGATGAGCAGAAGAATCATTATCACATTAATTTTCAGTGCTCTTTCTGCAATGGTATAAGGCAGGATCAGGTGCTAAGCATACTGTATCTGTGAATGCAGAGATTTTCATCGCTTCAGATGAGCAAATGTTTGTTTCTCGCTGGTTGCCTGGCTATCTGGAAGGGCATGACTTTGTACAAGTCTGTGGAAACAAGGGTCCTGTCTTAAATTGGAATAGCCTAAGATTAGGCAAAATCGAGGCAGCAGTGTTTTGTGCACATCTGCAAGAGAAACAGAGCACAGTAAGCACCTGGTAAAAGTGTGGTAACTGAGTGGATATGTCTGCACATCTATTTTCTGGGCAATTTGAGTTTGAGATAGTTTTTGGAGAGAAAGAAAGGTGCAAATGTCATTGCATACTGCTCAGCTTTCAGAAGCCTTTTGCCACCTTCCATGATACTTGTGTTAGTGTAATTTCCCTGGCCTTGCCCATTTACACATGCAAATAAGGCAAGATCCAGACTCAAAACTTTGAGTGCAGGGTAAGAATGACCATAATTGGATATGGTATTTTACATTCTGTCATGTTTCTGGAGGGCATGGGATTCTGTCAAGGCTGTGTAACTGGTTTCCAAACTTTTTAATGCCACAGCCATAATTTGTCAAAAAATTCAGCCAAGACTTTCTTTTGTGTTCAGCATGGTTGAAATAGAAAAGTAACTAGTGTGATGGGCTGCACTTGGGCTGATTTACTGCTAAGAACAAAGTCCAAATGAACATCAACAGAAGAAGCAGGTAATTTGCTTGTCTCCTTGACACAATGCTGATGAACATTTTTTTCTTTATGCTTACAGCATGTAAAGCCATAGATAAGCACTAACTGTTGTGTGCAAAGTAGTCAATAAACAGCCATCAGACTTCCCCTTCTGTTTAACTTTTATTAAAAGAGGTGCTAAGGTACTGTACTGTATGCAGTACATCATATTTATTACCAAAATTAACAAATATACAAAACTTATACATGTAATTTTCTTACATCCATTTATTGGTCTATAATACTGCATTTGTTCAAGTAGGTTATCTACAGTATGTAAACATCCCTTGGATTGACCTCACACAGATTAGGAAAGCCCATCTAACCCATGTAGTAACCAAACATAGCTTTTTCATTTTTTAAAATTTATTTGGCTTTCATTGGTAGAATCTAATCTTCACATTTGGCACATGGAAGAGACATCCATCTACAGTGCAAAAGAGGCAGATTTTCTGGTTTTGTTCTGAGAAGTTTAGCAGAGTCATGGTTTTAAAGAGCTGAGAATAAATTTACACAAACTTGATAGGAGATGGATTAGTGTTAACGCTCATAGATCAGCCAATAAACTAGAGCAGAAATTCAAAGCCTCTTCCCCAGCCTGCTCGGCCAGGTGGAAAAAACAACTCAGCCTTGTTTCTAAGGATTCAAAAAAGACTCTGTTAGCAACAGAGAGAGGAGGTTTAGTTTACAAAGAGCCCTCTGAGATTCCAGTTTCAGTTTTCTGCTTTGTGGAATTATTTTTTTTTTTCCTCCTGCTAGAAAGCAATTTTTTCCCCTTTTTGATGTGGGAAAAATAACCGATGAAGAACCAATTTCCAATGTTGGTAATTTCTCAGTGAGTCAGAGATTACAGTTGTAGTTTGCAGATCTTTGAACCTAGATAGATAGAGCTCAGTAAGCTGCCATGTACATGGGAGAGAAAGAAAGAGGGTGGGAGATAGAGAATAATGTAATTTTATTCCAGTTGTGGAATGAAAAAAAACTTTCTTTCTTCTGCTTCTCACTGTTTCAAAAACATGACTTAACTTAATGGAGTAAAGCTGATCCAGAGAGACCTTCATTCGCACCCTTCTTCCCATTCTCATCCAAGCACCGTATTGCTAATTTTTAGGAGGCCTCACCCACGTCCATGGAAGCATCTGATGAGAATGGACCTAACCAGACACTGCTTCACATGGAAACCCCTCTGCCATTCCCCATCCGTTACCACAGAGCCCCGCTGCTGTCCGTGGCACCGTACATCTCAGCCAGCTTCTTGAAGCGCGGCCCCCAGTCCGTCAGGTAGTCGTAGCTCTGGTCTGAGTCTGTCGTCACCGACTGCAGGGAGCTGAGCGACTCTGCCACCGAGCCGTTCCCTTCAAACATGTACGTCTGGAGGGAGTCAAAGGGAGGTGCCCACAGGTCCATGTCAGCTTCGTACAGCTTGGCTAGCACGTAGTTGTGGACGTTGCTGTCCATGACGCACGCCTGAGGCACGTATCGGGAGAGGCTCTCTATTTCTGGGAGCATGTCCTGCCGGTTTTTTACCACCAGCTGGGCCTCCCGTGGGTTCCACATGGCAGCAATATCGAAGGCCTCTGTGTCTTCCTCCCCGCCGCCTTCATCGTCGTACCTGACGATGTTCTCATGGATGTTCTCCTCCTCATCAATGATGTACGGCTGCTTCCGCTGGCGCCGCATGGAGAGGATGAGGAGCACCAGCACTGCAGGAGGCAACCGAGACACGGGGCCATCAGCGAGGGGGCAGATCTTAAAAGGGCTTCAGACTCCCTGCTGCCCTGTTTTCCCTCAGTGAGCCCAGCCAGCCCCTTGGGTTTCAAAAGCTGTGGTGTTTGCAGGTGGAAGGGTGTGGAAATCCCCCCCAACTCCTAAGTCAAAATCAGTAGCTTGAGGTCCTGCTGATCTGTTCCTTTTACCACCTTAATTCTTAACTGTGAGTGACACTTAGGTCATGTCTACCCCACAGTACTTGCCAGTGCACTGTAGTGACAGTTGAGCTACTTTTAAGCTAGCCAGATCAGGTATCAGCAATGATTTATCTACAGTGGCATACAGCTCCACAGAGAGAGTTTTCTCCTGCTGTGTAGCTGGGTTTTGCAGCCTGCTTTGGGGATGCCTCTTGGGCTGGGCGCTGCATGTGACATAGAGGGATGGTGCAGAGGCACCATGGTGATATGTCTGCCTACATGGCAAAATGCAGAGCTAGCTCCTCGGTCTGCTCCAAAGCATTTTTTTGTTCAAATGCAAGACACTGCCTTGGGCTGAGTAGACCTAGTGTCAGTTCCTTGGTGCTTGTGAGATGCAGATGCATGAGGAGAAGTGGTCATACAGGCACAAGAGACCTTTACTATTGAAAATACACCATTGCCTGGTGACTGTATGCCCAGGGCTAGAACTCAGCAAAGGTTTTCAATGCTGAAATTTTGGCCTGAGGTATCTAGGGCCTTCTGCAGAGCCAGAATTGAGGCACTTTTCAAGAATTTTTCCTGTATCCTACTCCACTGCTCCTCAAATGAGATCCTCTGAAATTTAAGGGAATGTGCATTTTGAACTAGTATCTCACAACTCAAGATAGTGAATGAGGGAACTGAAGTTCTTTTGAAAGCAATAACTAATAGAGGACATAGAAGACCTGGACAAGGAAGGGATGAAATTTAATTGTGGAGACAGAATACATGCAAGATGCTCAGCCCCTTTAGAGCAGCACAGGCACCATTCAAATGTAGTGTCTCAATAAAAAAGGATGGAGACAGAGATATTTCCTGCTAAAAGACTAGAGGTGGAAGTAAACTTGCCACTCCTACGTCCTATGGGAGTATATAATCAGAAATTGCTGAGGATGAGAAAGTAACCTGTTCTCAGACACAGATCTCTTTACTTCTTCCTGGCTTACCCCTTCTAGTAAAGCATGGCCGCATCAGACACCCTAGCCCTTTGGGGATCTGGCAGAAATATTTGCAGGCCATATTTTCCCCTCATTCCTATGCCCCAGGGACTGAAGCCATATGCAGCTGCCTACAGCATCTGGTGCTTGATTTGGCCCTTTAAGTATGTGTGAGTATACATATAATAAACATATATGTGTGTGTGTGTCTCCACCTTTAGTGGATCAGCAAACTGAAGAGTTTGTCCTCTCTCAAGGAGAAGCCAAAGTGCTTACCTAGCAGGACGAAGATGCAGGCGAGGATGGCAATGAGTGCCCCTCTGCTCAGGCTGACAGGGAGGACGTAGGCCTCGGCGTTGCAGGACATCACCATGCCGTCCTCATCGCAGCTGCACACGTGCACGGTCAGCGTGCCCGTGCTGCTCAGCACTGGGCGGCCGTTGTCGCTGATCAGGATGGGGAGGTAAAAAGTGTTCTGCTCATGTTGTCTGAAGCCAGAGCGCCTTGTCAAAATCCACGCTGTGTTGTCTAGGGTAGGACAGAAATGGAGAGAAGAGCTTACATGCAGGGCAGAGAAGAAAGGTTAAAAAAATCACCCTAGACCCACATCCATTCATCTTCTCTCTCTCTTTTTTTTTTTTTTTTTCCTTTTTTTATCAGTCTCTCACTATCAGCATTTTGCCTCTGCCTCCCCTATTCCGATATCTTCTCAGGCCATAGCCCCAAATCTGCAAGGCATACACACCTTATGAGTTGCCTTTAGCCCTTCTGACATAAAGTGCCCAGAGCAAACTCACAGCCTTCAGATTTAGCTAAAAGTCCTTTCAGAAGACAAGACAGAAATGAACAGTTGAAGTCAACTTGTTGTCCCTGTTTTTAATGCTCAGCAGCTTTTCTAGTCCTCAATCTTAAGCACCGCCACCATTTTGGAGTTGTGAGCGTATAACCCTTGTGGACATGTTAAGGTCATTTAATGTTTTTTGATACATGGCATGGCCATCTGCTTGAGGCCCCAAGAAGACAAAGGAAAAAAACAACTTGCTATCCTAAAGCAGCAGTGAGTTGAAAATTTGCAACGAAACATTTTTCAGTGAAATACATGCAATTTCATTGGCACTTTTGCCATTGAAAAAAGCCACAGTGCTTCATGTCATTATTGTCAGAACTATTCTGCTTTGATTTCACTATTCTGCTTCGTTTAGTGTGACTGCTTGTTTTTATAAGAAGTTGAATCAAAATGAATCAAATTGATGCTGCTGAAACAGAACAGTAAGAGAGCGGCCAAACAGCCAGTTGTTGGAAATTTCAAGGGAAATTCCTAACTTTGGGCCTTTTCCTTCCATATTCAGGGTGGTTTCTTTTAATTGCCAGAATTTCTTGGTGGCATTTGGATTCCTGTTTACCTCCCCCTCCCAGATGCCTCAGACTGTGCACCAAGTTTCCTAATCAGAAAGAGACTGGATTCAGGAATTTGTTCTTCTCAATTTTCATCTCAGAAATGCTGAGCCAAAGTGTTTGGAAATCAGTGATGATTTTGTCAGTGCTGACTTTCAAGCTTTTTGGCCTCAGAGACTTTTGGAAAGAGCAAGGCTTTATGTCTCCTGTGTGATCTGGGCCACCAGGGAGTCCAAAGGAACCTGTAGGAAAACTGGCACTTCTTACAAAGGGGAATGTTGGGCCAGCTAAGATTAATGGGCAACACAGGTACCTTTTCTCTTTGGCAGTCCTACAAGCCCTGACCGTGAGCATGGACACTCTGCGATTTTTTGGGAGCTGAGTTTCATGCAGTTTCTTTTACTACATAGGGGTTTTTTCCTGTTCCCTTGGTTCAAAAGAGGCTACAGTCTGGCCATCTGCATCTGCAGGTTGTAACCAATGTACCTTTGCTATGCTCAGAAATGCAGAAGAATTTTTTTCCTAACACCTAGTCTAAATCTACATACATCTTATATTTTTGCTGTGATGTGCTGACAGTGTCATCTGAGTCTTACATGTTCTTGGTGATAAAATTCTCTTGGTGACTTTTGGCATTACATTTGGGCCCTTTTGTTTTGTTTTGCTTTGTACTAGGTAAGCATCCAAAGAATCCCTATAGAAGCACTTTACCTGTTTCTCTGCAACTGCAATACCTTGGTGCCAGAGCTTATTGTGTGACTCATGAAATGCTAGTGCGGTATGATGTGCTACTACAGTGTGAAGGACACGCTGGAATGTGATGGAGCATGGCAGAAACAGAAATACACAGTTGTTTTCCAAATTTGGTATGTGCTAAGACCTAGCCATCAAGAGAAGAGGGCTTGTAAGGACATGAAAGCCCCATTATACTAAAAAAAATACCCAGGCATGGTAAGAATTCACAGTATGTTTTGCATCACATCTTCCATCACAGCGTCTTTGGATAACGAAGATCTTTGTGGTAACACTTAGCTACTGGGTTGAGAATGAAGGTTGCAGCATGACAGGTCCCATGCTTGTATGATCAGCAGGAGGTGAAAGTTGCACTTCTTACAGGCATACAGGCTGATGACTTCATGTGGTTGTGAGAGTGAGCTATGAAGCATCTACTTCCTCCTTTTATGCCCCAGGAAGTGGTCTATCTCCATGGAGATGTCAGTGAACTTAACCACTGTGTAGGTCCAAACCCTGAGATCAGAGATAACCACTTCTCTTCTCATGGGAAAGGTTTGCTTTCTTTCTGTATGCATCTGTACAAGAACTGGTGATGACTAGCCCAGAACTTATGTTAGCTTTTAAAAACTAACTGTTATGATTATGAATAGTTAAGAATAATATAAGGAAGTATTTCACTAGGAGTAGGAGAAAGAGCACAAGAAAACAGGCATTACAGATGCCTCTGGCTTGAGGAAAGGGTCACATGTTTTCTTGGGGAATTTCAGCTCACTGCTTTTGTGCTCTGCAAAAGTGTGAGATAGGCCACAGTTTTAGGGAAA